TCAACGGTCTTTGCATGGCCCATGTGATTCAGCTTGTAGGTGGTGGCACAGACAAGGCGGTCACATTTTCCCTCTCTGTCCTGCCTTTTCCACCTGCTCTGAGTACAACTGAGAAGGCCAACAGGCTTTCTAGAGCTTTTTGGCTAGATTTTAAGTGGTTATCTCTAAGCTCCTCCAGAAAACTCCTGCAAGGTGTTGGCCTGTCCATGAGGAGAGTGTGGTTTAGCATTATCTTTCCTGGATTTCACTCAGTGAATCTGAAGCTCTGTCGTTTGACATAGCTCGAAGGGACATTGTGCAAAACCAGCATCAAGTGTCCTGTATCTGAACCAAGAATCCCGCTGCATTCGTTGATAACGTCACAGAAGTGGTGGTTGGAAGGGAGCTCTGGAAGGTATCTAGTACATCCTTCCATCCAAGCGGGACTGCTGCCAGTGCCGTCAGCCATGACTTCGTCAAATCAAATCTTGAAAACTGAGAACCTTGAAAATCTTGAAAATGGAGAACCTACCATTTCTCTGCTGACCTGCCCTGAAGTGTTACTGATATCTCCGTTTCACAGACTGTTTTGGGTCTCCCTGAAGCACTGGAGCTGCTGATTGTAGAAGATGTTTTACTAAGCCCTGGTGTCTCTATTCCTGGGTAGAGCAAAGCAGGCAGATGATGAGACAAAGCAACAGACACGGGAATACAGCCCATGGTCTCTGCCCAGAGACCACCCCCCCCTGCATCGCTTACGGCTCTGCGGCGGGCGAGGTGTTTCCAGGAAGGAAGAAGAGGAGGAGGAGGAAGACGTTGGGTTTGATGAGCAGCCCGTCCTTCCCCATGGTGCAGAAGACAAGAGCAGGTCGTGAGGAGGCGAGCAGACACACCGCTCCCCTCTCCCAGCCAACCCCTTTATACTCTTCCCCTGCAAACAGCCCAGGGGCTGGAGGAGATAAGGGCTGGGGGCCAGGGCCCCCGCGGAAACGGGGAGAGGCGGTAAGGAGGAGCTGGAACCAGCAGCCCTCGGTCCGGGCAGAAGGCCAGGCCCTGGCCAGGAGAGGGAGGGGAGGGCGCCCAGCGGGCTGGAGCTCTCTCTGTTTTGGGCCAGGGCAGCAGGCAACAAGAGGAGGAAGGGTGGCAGCTAAAGACACGAAGGGCTAACAGCAGAGGGGAAAGGAGAGGGCTCCGTTCCTGGCAGGAGCCCCTATACGGCGCTGGGCCTGGAGGCTGCTGGAGGAGCACTTTGATTTCCTTCAAACTGGGAGCAGGAGGTTGACCCGGGGTTTGGTAAACAAGAGTGGGTGTGCCGAACCACCGCTTCACAAGGCAGGATCTGAAAACGGGGAATGCAAACTCTGAAAAAGATTTCCTCTCCACCCACCCTTGCACTCTTGTGCTCTCCATTCCTGGTCCTACCAGCGCTAATGCCAGGAAAAGGGGCCAGAGAGTTGCCTGGACAATCAAGTTGTCCGAGATAATCTGACCTTCACCCCGACAGAAACAGGGACAGTGACATGATGGGACACTGCCAAAAGTTCAACCCATTAACAGCGTGTAACACATTAACCAGTTCCCCAGAGCAGCAGCTGCCCTCACGCAGCAGAACAGACCTGGCCTGGGTCTTGCTTTCCCTCTGCTGGTTCTTGTTATGGGTCAAGTTATTGGCACATCGCAATCAAATTGTTCCTGTTTGATGGAGTCCTTCCTGGCTTCAGTGTCTGAAAATCCACATGATACACTGTGATGGGTGATGTTATATCACAGAGGGAAATGTCGTTTTGACCATTGTCTTTACTGTAGTTACCTTGGTCTGCAGCAAGGATCAATAGCTCTGGTAATTATTACCCTTGGAAGTGGTAGCAGAATATTTCTCTTACTTACAGCCCTAACCCAGACTCCAAAGAATGGAGATTTGTGTTGGAGGATGTCAATCATATTTTTTTGGATTAAAAAAGGTGCAGGATAAAATGATTATCTGTCTGTCCTTCCCTCTCTTACTATCGTCATCAGAAGTTTAGTGAGCTCGGGAACTTTGGAGTTAAGGAATCCAAGCGCAGTGAGACAACAAATCTTCATCACAGGCCTCATCCTGCCCCGTAGTGACCTGCGTGGGGAAGGAGCACGCGTCCAATTTCCGTGGGGACTGCACAAAAGAGACACGGCCCAACCTTGTGACCTGCCTTCTCCATCTGATGCCTAAAGGTTGTTCTGCCTGCCCACAAGAAATAAAACCCGGGAAGATCTGCCTCGCCCGCAGAGAAGAGGATTTGTGGTCAAAGCCTTTCTGAACATGACCACTTTACGTTGGTTCGAGCAGGTCGGGAGCTGGATTGACTGAGCACAAGCCTTGGAGGAAAGAGGTGCAGAGCTGCACACAGCAGAGGAGGCTGGGGCTACCCTTTTGGCAACCAGCTCCCGACCATTAGGACCTTGATCAATAATGTGCCGTGTAGCAAAAAAGGAAAGAGAAATATTTTCATTCCATTGAAGGGGGGGACAAGATTCTAAAGGCATGAGTATCCCAGTAGGTACCAATAAGCACACACAGATACCAAGCCAACTTTTAAAATCTGCTCCTAAGCTGCTTGTCCTCCATCCCATTCCCAATAGCAGCTTGGGCCCCAGCAGCCTAATTTCAAGGGTCTTTGCATGGCCCATGTGATTCAGCTTGTAGGTGGTGGCACAGACAAGGCGGTCACATTTTCCCTCTCTGTCCTGCCTTTTCCACCTGCTCTGAGTACAACTGAGAAGGCCAACAGGCTTTCTAGAGCTTTTTGGCTAGATTTTAAGTGGTTATCTCTAAGCTCCTCCAGAAAACTCCTGCAAGGTGTTGGCCTGTCCATGAGGAGAGTGTGGTTTAGCATTATCTTTCCTGGATTTCACTCAGTGAGTCTGAAGTTCTGTCGTTTGACATAGCTCAAAGGGACATTGTGCAAAACCAGCATCAAGTGTCCTGTATCTGAACCAAGAATCCCGCTGCATTCGTTGATAACGTCACAGACGTGGTGGTTGGAAGGGAGCTCTGGAAGGTATCTAGTACATCCTTCCATCTAAGCGGGACTGCTGCCAGTGCCATCAGCCATGACTTCATCAAATCAAATCTTGAAAACTTCTAAATATGGAGAACCTACCATTTCTCTGCTGACCTCTTCCAGTGTTGTACTAACCTCTGGTGAAGACATCTTTCCCCATGTCCAATCTGAACTCCTCAAGCTGTGCTTATATGTTATATCTTCTGCCCTTACCAAGAAAGATCATGTTCCAATATCCTTGGAACTGCCTTTCAAGTATTTGTACACAGCTATTTAGTCACTCCAACCACCACTTGGTCAGACTGAACAAACCCAGCTCCTCCTGTCACTCCCTGTGGCTCCTATGCTCCATACTCTGACCAGTTTGGCAGTCCTCCATTGGACACTCTCCAGTTTCTCCACATTCCTCTTGAAACAGGGGGTCAGCAGGCCAGAGACAGCCCAAGTGCAGCCTCAGAAATGCCATGGAGAATGAGGACTGTAACTTACCTCGATCTGCTGGCCGTGCTCCTCCAGCATTAATTCATCACTGTTTACAGAGTTCATCAAGAAGAACTTCCAAGAAAATTAGTATATATCAATCAGTTATATTGACATGCTCTAGGCAGAAGATTAAAAGCTCTGCCAAAGATATTTGTACAACTGCTTTTCATGGAAATGACTATACTTGCTTCAAATCCCTTTACTACTGTGAAAACTTGAACCCAGAGAAGAGACATGCATTGTTAAAATAGAATCTGCAGTTGAAAATCCCTTCCCTTCAAAGAATGGTCAACTTTTAAGGCCACCTAATGTATTTATTTATTTCATTCTTTCCTGAGCATCTCTTTGGGATGAGATTGAGAGGCCATGTTTGAAGAGCTAATCAGTAAAATAGTCTAGCGTGCAGTGCGCTCTAAAACCCTGGGGGAAGCAAAGGTAAGTAGGCAAGCTCAGAGATGTGCTCACCTCACACACATCATGATAACATGAGAAGCTTTTTCTTCACTGGGGTTCCCTGGTAAAGTAACTGCTAGCTGCCCTTCTGTACATGCTACCACCATTTTGTCAAAGCAGACAAAGTCTCCAGCATTTTCCCATAGGGCCTGGCAACTTCCTAGGAGTCAGGGACAGCATCTTCTTTTGAGACTCTGAGTACAACTGAGAAGGCCAACAGGCTTTCTAGAGCTTTTTGGCTAGATTTTAAGTGGTTATCTCTAAGCTCCTCAAGTAACCCAGAAAATCTGAGATGAAAACTAAAATCTTTTAGCTCCTGGAGAGGGAAACACGTTCTTGGTTGATCCAATAATAGCACACAATTAACTGTATTCCTTTGACTCCAGAAGTCCAGCCTCCCAACTAGTTTGGTTGAAGCTGGCTTGTAAAACGTGGTGTGCAGCTGGTTCCTTCCATCAGAGAGAAGAAATGACAAGGGTACATGGTTTATTTTCACCAAGAGATTTATAGAAGTTGTGGTCTCATTTCAGCCTCTTTTCTCCCACTCCTATCACTGGGATGCAAAAAAAAAAAAAAAGGCTGCCACTGGGAGAAGTCTGTTTATATGTTTCCAGTAGTGAGCATCACACTTCGTTTTCCTGGTCCTGCTGGCACCAGACAATGGAGATGCAGGAAATGGAAATGCCACCCGATGCTCAGGAAGGGAGGAACATGAGATCTGAAGACCCAGTATCTGTTGTGACAAACCTTTTGATGGCCCTTACAGGACAAATAAGGCAAGGGGTAGGTCAGGGAATATGTCCCAGGTCTCATCTGGTCACAAACAGCAGCAATCCAACACGTGTGGCCTGGAAATGGAACTACCACTGATGATAACTCACCCTTACGGGCAACAAGACTGTCCCTGCAAAGCACCTTTGTGAGGGTGTGGGAAGGGCAAGCCCTTGGTCTTGTGCAGGGCTTTGGTTTGCAGGAGAATGATCCACTTGCACCACTGATGAGATGGTTATGAGATGAAAATGCACACGGGCTTTATCTAAGAGATTTCTCACAGATCCATGGAGCATTAAATTGACAGCTGGAGGCCTGAAATTGACCTTTCATCAGGACGGCGCAGTGTTGCACAGGGCTGTTAGAGGAGACCCTGCAAGAGACACAGAACAAAAGAGAGACTGAAAGAAAATGCCGAGATTGTCTCCTGGAGGCAAGAAAGAAAAAACATCTGATTTTGAAGGGTGGAGCCCAGAGGAAGTGAAAGAACCCAACCTCCGAAGGGCAGCTGGTAGAAAACAAAATGTACGCCAAAAAACTGTCTACCTGGGAGATTAAACATCTCAGTAATTTTGCCACTGCAGAACCCAAATCAGAACCAGCCACAGACACAATGCCCTGCAGTGACCCTGACACCCACCAGCATGAGGACAACGGTGCTCAGAGCTCCATGGAAAGATGACTGCCTCCAGGGACTTTGTAGGAACAGCTGGATTTGAGAAGGTAACTAAGCCAAGCACTTACGTGCTGACCTACAACAGTGAGATCTCGGGCAAGTTTCCTTGCTGTTGGAGACTGACACATTGTGTTAATTGCCATAAAAAGGAAAGGGCCAGGCAACAACTCCTAATGTTTTCCCTCCTGCAGAATGCTGCGTTTTGTCTAAGTAAAGAGTCAAAATTAAGGTTCTGACTTGGGTTGGCACCATCAAAGCAGCACAGGATTAGGTCCTCGCACCCAGTGACACCAGCACGTGGCAGAATGTGTGCAAGGTGGCTAAACCCAGTAAAGCCAAGGTGGACCACATGCTTTTCTGACCGAGCAACTGTGTGGGCAGTGCAGGCAAATAATCCTTGGTCTGAGCAGCTGGAGGGCAACAGAGAGTGAGATACTGGAATTAGCCCTGCTTTTCACAGGTAGGTGCCTTTACGAGGTGCAGCGCAGCAGAAAAGTAGGTTCTTTCAAGTTCAGTGCTGTACAGGTGGTGGTAAGAAGAAAATCAGCCCAGGAAGAAAGCTCCTGAGATCTGGTGCAGGAACTCTGTGTGTTGTGGAACACCAGGCAAACTGAATTCACACTGTTGTTTTTAAAACAGAATTAAACTCACTTGGTGCCATTGAGTATAGAGCCATCTTCCCATATCCAGCCAGAGCCTGTGCTGTTCCTCAGTCCAATCCAGAAACATTCTGGCTGAATACTCTGGAACAGGTCCTAGAAATGGTGATAAATTGCAAAGTGACTTATGAAAGCCAGCCTGAAAATGGAGGTAAGGGTAAGGAAAGAGAACAGAGAGCAAGATACATCTCCTCTCCTGACTGTTCCTTAAGTGGCTGACAATATTGCTTCTCCACACCTTCTGATCAGGAAGATGAGCCCCACAGATCATGCCTGGAATAAAGACTATGTACGTGGAAGCTCACAAGGAGTTAAGGGTGCTTTCAGGGGTCCTGGGCAGATTCTTCAAAGGACATTTCTCAGGGCAATACACGTGAACCAACTGCACCCCAGCCTCCTGGAGTTTCCTACACGGAGCTTTATGTAGGAGCATATGTTAGTGCTATTGCTACTCCTATTCCTATTCCTATTCCTATTCCTATTCCTATTCCTATTCCTATTCCTATTCCTACTATTGCTATTACTGTTGCTCTACCATGCAGCTAGCTCGCAAGCTAATAGAAAGTATTATCAATTAAAGGTAAAATCTGATCAGGGCAGAAAGTGTAGGCACCGACAGATCTGTGTAAAGAGCCCGGGACCAAAGCTCATTACATTTTATGCAATCTTTCCTCCTACGTGTTTTCAGTGCTCATTTCCTCCTGCCTAACCTTTAACTCCTGTTCATTGTTAGAAAGTGAAGCCTGAAGCAGAAACTCAGCCCTGAAAAATCCCCCCACCCCCCAAAAAAAAGACAAAGGCGAGAGAGGAGTTTGTCTTGTCCCCATTTGTAATGGAACCCAACAAAAGCAACCTTTCAGTGGTAGGGCTGGGCCCCATCCTTATCTCCTGCTGCCATACACAAAGCTTCAGAGCAGTGTCCTCACGCAGCAGCGTGACCAAAGCTGCCTTGGTGAAGTGGTGGGAGCAGGAGGAGCTTGAGGAAGGCTTGAGTGTTGGGGTGGTTCAGGGGTGACCGTGCTTCCCTGGTCGGTGAGGGGAGGCTGAACAGCCACAGCCTTTGCAGCATGGGGTGTAACTGGATGGCTGGGAAAGTCTTGCTCACGTGGGGAAGTCTGAGCTGGGATAAGGGGTATCACTCCAGGAGCAGAGAGAGTAGTAAGAAAGCAGCCGGACCAGGGAGGCCTTCCTCAAGCAAAGAAATGGGTAATCTGGGGAAGATGAGTATTTCCAAGGAATCAGGATTTGCCTCACAAAGCGTGACAGCCTGGCAGGTACTCCCAGTCGAGCAGAGACCTGGCTTTGTAAGCCCCCCCAGAACATCCTACAATGCAACTTCTGTCCAGGGACTGGAAGCTGTCCACGCTCATTGGACCTCAGCTAATAAGCCTTGGCTTGCACAAAACCAGATCAAGCACTTCTGCTTTAATTAGGCAGACGTGCCTCACCTCCCCAGTGGTCAGCTTTAGTGGTCACCCATGCCCCTGCCCCCAGGGAGCACCTGCTGGAAAATGAGCCATGAAACAGAGGGTTCCTGATTGCACCAGCACAACTGAGGGGGTTTTGGCAGCGAGAGGAAGTAAGCACTGAAAACAGACTGAGAAAGAATTATCTGTGCATGAACACAGGGCAGGGCAAGGTCAGTGAGCAGGAGGTGCTGGAGCCTCGCAGGGAGGAGAGACAGGGCTTCTTTTGCAAAGGAGGCATTTCCCAAGAGTGGGGACATCTTGGTCTGTAGGCAACGAGTACAGAGAATGCACAGTGCCCCAGGCTTTTCCTGTCATCATCCCCACCAGCTCTGCTGGGCAGGAGGGGAGGTGGAGAGGGGCAGTGGAGGAGGCTGTCTCCTAGCATCCTGCACAGGATGACTCTGAGTAGCTGGCAGGGACCCTCACCTCTCCCTTCTCCCCTTTGTTTCTTTGCCTGCTGGGAACTCCTAAGGTGTGCCCTGAAACTGGCAGTGCCCTGTAACGTCACAGTCATGACTCCTTCCTCTCCTTTAAAGTCAATGTGCTGCCAGAGCGACAGCGCTGCTGGGATGTCAGTCCCTGAGGTATCTGCACGGAAACGGAAGATCTTCGAAGAATAAGAAAATCATTACCATTTCGCTGGCATCGCTGATCACCAGGAGATGAGCTCCCTGCTCCCAGCAGGATCGCTGGCTGGAATTCCAGTCCTTCTTCTCCTTGGAGAAGGAGTAGCAGCTCCCTCTGTAAGCCACCCACTGCTCAGGGCAGCGTGGTTGGGAGTCACCTGTAAAGGAATCAAAATCCTAGCTTTTCCCTACCATTAACTAACGGAAAGACACTCGTCAGCAAGGACCTGCTGAAAAGCAACTCTTCTGGAGAGTTGCAGTGCAGAAAACACAATTCAGGATAAGCATCTAAAAATAACGACACGTGTGAGCTGAACTTCAGAACCTCTGTGCAATTTCCAAGTCTTTGTACAAGAGTTACATTGCTCTGATGCTGGTGCAAGATGCCGCCCAGCCCCACCCCCCACCTCGGTTTCCTCTGAACTACTCAGATACCTGACAACCAAAATTAGCTATCTGAAAGCAGATAACATTCTGGGTGTGCAAACAGTAAGGGAAAAAACGACATCATTTTGTGGGTATGGTTTCTCACACATCAGGTGAATAGATTTTAAGCAGCAAACAGTAGGCTCTCCCACATGGTCTATCACCTTCTGCACGCACGCAGAAGTATTACAGACCTTGGATATTTGTTCCACAGTTCACTATGACAATTATAGCAGACAAGTCTACAAAAGCCTTTCAACATGTTTCACTGCTTTTTGCCACAGGATCTGAAATGGGTTGCTTGGGGTCTGCACAAGGAATGTATTCTGGATAGGGGGTGAGTACTTAAGGCTGGTAGAAACCTAGAACAGCTTCTGGTTTAACCCTATATAATAGAGCTCAGGATCTGAGCTCCTGTGCTTAGATGAGTCTCTGGTCCTTTGCTGTTGGATGCTCACCCCCAGCACCCCTTTGTGTACTTACTAATCTTCCAAATCAAAGCAACTGCTAGGGTGATGCTCAGTATCCCAAAGCCTATAGCCAAGCCTGGCACAACTGCTGGCCTCAGACAGGGAGCTGTAAAAGAGAAGAGAAAACATAGTGAACAGGAGCCATGATGATGAAAACCTGATGGTGGTTTTAGGCATTTCCCTAAGGAACAGAACTATTTAGAGCATCCCTGTCTGGCCATGCTCTGCACATCGCTGCCGTCACTGTCCCTGCCCAGCCTCTCCAGGGCCTCCCCATGTCCCTGTCCACCAGCCCAGGGCCCCATTTCAGTTTGGCCTGATGCCATCAGCCCCTGCCTGAGCTTCCCAGGAGGTGTACCTGTCTCCAGGTTGGCCATAGCTCTACCCATGCCTGGCCGCAGAGCCGGCTGGTTCAGCTGGTGGCAGACCCCAGGAGAAGAAGAACCTGCCCCAAGTCAGCCAGAGCCCCCCAGGTACCCACGTGGCACCCTGTGGCCTCCCAGCAAACCTGTTCCTGCCCCAGTATTGGAGTTTGGGGGTGCAAACACAGACCTGCACTGCCACCGCCACGATGTCCCATCTTAAATGCAAAAACAAGCTCAAGGCCTTTCCTCCAGCTCTCTCAGCAGCAGTGACAGGTTTAACCTCAGCATCCTGTTCACAGGCTTAGGCACACGGTTGTGTTACATCTTCCCGGGACGCTCCCAAGTCAGTCCTACGCTGTCATCTGCCTCTCCTGTGGATGGGAGCCTTGAAGACCTTGGGATGCCCCACCACACTTTCACCACCACCATCCACTGTTCACCTGCTGCCAGGAGCAGAGGGTGACTCTTTGGGGCAGCCTCCACCGTAGCCCAGCATGGCTTCCTTTCAAAGGACGGGGCAGGACTGCCATGTAGAGATCTGCTTGTGTACAGCACGACGTGTTAACCTCCAGGCTGCACCTTGCTTTCCCATTGTCGTCTCCTGGAGCTGAGAGGCATCCACCTTCTGTAAGACGCTTGAAATCTCAGCACTAAAATCTCCTTTCTCCCTGGTTGAGGAGAGGATGACACACACTGCCACGGATGAGCCCTGGTGGGAGGCGGGTTGGTTTGCTTGCTTTATTAATCTCAGTATGACAGCTGCATAGACAAAAGGACTTTCCAAGAAGCACTGAATGTGCAGCTAATGGTTGCTGATGCTGAGGAACCCAGGATTTCCCTGTGCTTCTCCCTTAAGCTTACGTACCACGTCCTGCTGTTGTGGTGCTCCAGAGTCTTCTACCCAAATCCAGCAACAAAGTCTGTGGAGGACCTCATGAAGTCTGAGGTGACTCTCTCTCAGTCATGTTACAAGGCCCAAAGAAACATATCTGCACTCCCTAAAAAGGCTAAGGAGTAAGACGAAGGGAGGGGAAGGCTGGCTTTAACCAAAAACACTACCTCAGCAAGTACCTCAAGTAGAAGAAGGGCTGTGAGTTGGATCTCATAGCAACGCAATACAAAATACACAGGGAAGTAAAGTAAGCTCAAGTTAAAAAGTCAAGTGAAGCTCACGTAAAATTACAGTCAAATTAGGTTAAATAACTTACTGCATTAAGAGGTAACAGCAACGCCCCAGACCAGGCAAATATTACTAAATACATGGGGTTGGAATTATATGCCAGACAAGGATGGTGACAGCACTCATGAGGTGGCAAAAAGAACCAGAGCAACCGTGAAGGAGGCATCAATTAATCGCACTAAATAAAGCAAATGCCGTGTCAGGGCGTGATGCTGAGGCCGAATCCTTAGACTCCATCAATAGAATCATAGAATCATAGAATCATTGAGGTTGGAAGAGACCCTTGGGATCATCGAGTCCAACCATCTACCCTACTCTACAAAGTCCTCCCTTACACCATGTCCATAGGTACCTTGTGGAACAGCGAGCCAGGAAACACAGAAAGGGAAGCAGCTGGTGGCTGCCCTGAGCTCTGCTCGGGCCACCCAGATCACCATGGCTCCATCCAGCAGCTTCCCTGCCACAGCGAACACAAACGCCCCGAGACCCAACAGAGCCAAAACCCAACAACAACAAGAACAACAAAAAAACAAAAGGGCCCTGTCATATAATAATTTCAAAATGAGTAAGACAGAAACTAAAAACAATGGCTAAAGAATAAAAGAGACTTCTTTTAGGATGTCTCAGCAGAGGCTGAAAACAAATGCACATCAGGTATTAAGAATATTGTGGGAAGGATGAAAAAAGCCAGCACCAAAACAGAAAGGGAAGGGACTTCACTTAAAACCAAGAATGCACTCTTTAAGCACTGGAATCTTTATCCAAATAGTAGTAGACCAGAAGCAGACCAGGTCAAAAAAATAATAAAAATTAATTAATTTTGGTCTTACAGTAGTTTGCAGGCTTACTGGGTTTAAGACCAGTTTCTGGTTTATATCAATATATTTAGACCTGCGGTTTTGACTGAAACATGTTTCTAAGGTAACGAGGGAGAGTGTGAAGGAGCTTCGTTGTAAGCATCATTCTTCTGGTAGAAAGATCTTTCCTAAAGTAAAGGTTTTGCCATTTTTCCTGAAGTTTCCAGGATCTAGCTGGTGCTGGTGTAGTTTAAAAAAAAAACAACATTTATTTATTTTTTTAATCATTATTAAAGAACACTTTTCAGATACAAAATAGAGAAAGCCTTTTCAGTTGCAACCTACTCCTCAGCTTCAGGCAAGAGGACAATGGGAGAACTAAAGGACCTGAACTGGGTAGCTGTTCTCTCTACTTGCTCTCTATTCCTCTTGTAAGGTCACCTTGGGTTTTGCCATCAGATCAAGCCTCAAGAGAATGGAGTCAGCCGGAGGTTAAGCGTAGGGTGGAGCTTCTGTGCAGATGACAACTGAAAACCAAGTAAAAGGGGATACATATCTGTTGAAACATAATTCTGTGTTCTGAGACCACATTTCTGAGAAACCGAGGATTTGCACTTCTGTTTTCCTTCTTCTCTTGCCTCCCAAAGGAGCTATCCCCTGTATCCTCCAGATCACTGTTCCATATTTTAGGGAAAACTACTTTCCAGGACAGGGAAACTGGGATGACAGTCCGTGAAGTGGTTAATCCTTAAATGTCAGTACCGAGCATCAGAGCTTGTGCCTCCTGGCCATGAATAGAGCAGTTCACCCTCTATTGTTTCAAACCAATTGCAGAAAAAAGGGAACTGACTCGACTCAGCATTAAAACAAAATCCCAGGGCACCTCCGTTAGCCAGAGCAGTGGGAGAGTTCACTTAAGTTCTTAAAATTGGAAAAGTATGCCATTAGATAATTTTGGGAGTGAGAAAGAGAATGGAGGCGGCGCGTTATATTGAAGTGGTCAAGGTGAATTTGAGCTTTACTTGAACTGCACTGATCAACCCGGGGAAGTGGAATTAAAATTTTCATAAATGGGGATCCTTATCCCTTGTGAAAGGGAGTCTATGCAGTTCCCCCTTTTTAAAGCAGGTTCAAGGGCTTGTGCTTGATCTTCAGCCCCTGAAGTACATGTGAAGCTCTGGTAGAAAAGGAAGGGAGAAATACCTGATGTGAGTTTGAAACAGAGGAGGGAAATCTGAATGGAGCATCCAGAAATATATCCATGTAGTTGTCTAAGTTGTGGAAGAGTCTCCCCAAGAGAAAGGAGAAGTGAACTGCTGAATATTTAACATAAATATCCAATATTATAACTTTCTAATATTAAAAAAAAAAACAAAACAAACCAGTTAGGTCTCTCAGTGCTCTGGAGAAATGACTCTGATACACTGCATTTGTCTGCAAGCAACACGACCCAATATTTTTAGGTTTGCGAGTCCATATTCAGTTCAAAAACTGAAAGCTGTTAGCATTTTATAATTCAGCTCTTCTAGGACAAACCGAAGAATGTCATTGCACTGTCCCAGATAGCTCCCCTCAGCTCCTGCCTACGTCAGTATGGGAGCAGCTTGATTACCGAGGGTCAGGGAGGAGGATTTGAGACACGAGGATCCTGTCCTTGGCCATGGCACAGACCTGGTTACTCGCTGTTACTTCAAGCGTGCCACTTGAAGTGGCTAACACTGTCTTAAATGATGGCTGGAACTGACATTTTGGTAGTGTGGCGTATCTGAGGCTCTCTGGAAGCCAGAGAGAAAACAGCCAGGGCAAGTGTTCATTTTCAAGCAGTCCATGAGACCCTAAACAAGTTGGTTTGACCAGAGGACTGATGTAGAGACCTGTCATATACCTGTGACACTGCGTCACAGAGAGGACTTGGTAGCAAGGGTGTGCATTTGAAAACAGAGATGAAATACCTGAGAATACATCTCTCAAAAGTGATGGAGGTGGGGACAGAGTTGAAAATAAATACCTCCTAAAGAAAGGGACTTAAACTTCAGCACTCCCTGGGGACTGCTCACACGCAGAAGAGAGGTGGGAAGTAATCAAATAATACACACAGAAAGTGTGTTCAAAGATCAGCTTCCTTATTTTGGGCTCTCTGACTTTAGCTTAAAAAGATAGGAGCACATAAAAGAATTTGGAGAGGAGGAATATTAAAAAGAAAACTGCAAACACTTCAAGAGGGCATCAGGTAATCTCCACCTCCAACAGGGTGGGAGGGAGGGAACACAAATGGCAGGGAATGAAGGGATGTCCCTGTGTTTTGTGACACAACAGCAAACATCATTTCTGATGAAAACACATGCAAGACTGCTTTCCAAGCAGATGGAGTGTGATTACCAGACAGGAATTTGGGGGGTTTCTGTGCTTGCTTTGTTTCTGTAGTGCAGGAAGTGACCAGGCAGCAGTAACAACCACGGACACAGGGCAGTTAGTTCTGATCAGGGCACGGAAACCTTGTGTGGCAGAGCAACAGCCCCCTTGGCAGTACCAGCTCTGAAAAAAAGCTAAGGTCAGCTGCAATCAAGTCACTTGTAAGGAATGATCATGAATGCAAAATCTCACTCTTCTAAGATGGTATTCCCCAACTAAGCAGCCAGAGAAATTGCTCAGTGTGATATTTACAAGGCCTGAACAGGGGGAATGGAGTGGAAATAAGGGGAAGAGAAAATTTAAGGAAAGCACTAAGAAAATTGTCCTGATAGGAAAAAGAAAGCCCCGCAGAACTGTCTCAAGGCAAAAGCTGAAAATTTGCTCGTTGGGAGGTACGTAAAACTAGAACAGAGAAAACACAGGAAAAAATGTATCACAAAAGAATCCTGCAGAGCCCCACAGGAGACAGACGGGATGATCTCATATGCCTCCTCTGTTTCTGATCTCTGATTAGCATACGCCTCTAATTTATCTGTACTCGCATCTCGCCTGCTCTTCAAAGAACTATCGCTGACAATCTTTTATTGCTGACAAACATAAACTTTAACAGTGTAAACCTCTTTGGGAGAGAAGGATGCCGGGGCTGAATGCCCAGCAGCAGACACCAAAAGAGGCCCGATGGAGAGAGGGAGGGGAACAATGCTGGGTCTCTGACCCGTCAGCTTTGATCACAGTAAAATACTCGGGGTAATTTTAGAAGCAAAGCAACAACCCCGTGAGCTGGTACTCGGCGTCAGTGGCCACCTCAGAGCGTTTTTGTTCTTGTTTTCACTCAAAAGAAAATCGTTTGTTGACTTACCACATCCAGCTTCCTTACCTCTCCTTTCCTGCTCAGATTTGGTCCTCGGCGGAGGAGTCTGAGAGAATTTGACAGAAGTATAAATTATTTCCTCACTCGCCTCGGCTGCAGAAGTTTCTGATGTGCTTCCCTCCATGCCAAAGCAGAGTGCCTACGACAAGATGTTTCGATCAGGCTGTTGAGCGACAGGGCTCAATGCCTGCGAAACAGGAAACCTGAGGCCACATTCAGAAGACAAGAAATGTGACGTTTCAGCCTCTATCCAGCTGCTCAAAATAACAGAATTTACAACAGAATGGAGAGCACTGGAAATGCAACAACTTCCATTTCCTGACTTGATGACGGATGTCTTAAGAACAGCCGTTAGTGGAAGAAGTGATTAATCACGAAGTGCAGGGGTATTCTAATTGTTGCCAATGCAAGAGGCTGTGATTACACTGACACAGTACTTGTGAGAACTTGTTTGTCACTCTGCAGGGCTCCCTCTCAGGACAGAAGCAGGTGAATAGCAAGAGCACGAGGTGAATAGTGGAAGTACAAGGTGAAAAGTGGGATAAGCAATGCCTACGGCAAACTGCTGACAGCCCAGCTGCTGCCAGAAGGGAGGTAGAGATGGCCAGCATGGGCTTAAGAAGGAAGCCTTGTGAGCTTTGGTGAGTTGTACTGGGAACTCTGTCTACACCCAACACCCAGTGTGAACGTGCTTGAGACACAGGCAGGAACTCAAGAGCTGGCATCCCTTGAGACGCTCTGAATCAACATCTCAACAGCATCAGTACAAGAAAAACATGGACGTACTGGAGAGTCTAGCAAAAAGCCACACAGATGGTGACAGAACTGGAGCATCTCTCATATGAGGAAAGGCTGAGAGAGCTGGGACTGCTTAGCCTGGAGAAGAGACGTCTTGGGGAGGATCTTATTAATGTATATAAATTCCTGAAGGGAGGGTATAAGAAGAACCAGGTTCTTTTCAGTGGTACCCAGTGACAGGATAAGAGGCAGTGGGCACAAACTGAAATACAAGGGGCTCTGTCTGAACATCAGGAAAGAGTTTCTTACTGTGAGAGTGATTGAACGCTGGCTTAGGTTGGCCAGAGAGGTTGTGGGATCTCCAAGAGACATCTTGGGGAGGATCTTATTAATGTATATAAATTCCTGAAGGGAGGGTATAAGAAGAACCAGGTTCTTTTCAGTGGTACCCAGTGACAGGATAAGAGGCAGTGGGCACAAACTGAAATACAAGGGGCTCTGTCTGAACATCAGGAAAGAGTTTCTTACTGTGAGAGTGATTGAACGCTGGCTTAGGTTGGCCAGAGAGGTTGTGGGATCTCCATCCTTGAAGAGCTATTCAGTTCCAGGGCAGGGATGATCACTCCCTGTCCTGGTGACATGTTGTAAATTTGAGAACTGATTGTCCAGGAGGATGCTCAGTTTGATATAGAGTGTTGTGGCTGATTTGTTACAATGCACATCTCTGGGAAGGCATGGATTGGACATTTCTGCGAATTCCTCCATCACACACTTGCCTCTAAGGACGGTGTATTACACCCAGAAGGTTCTTTCCAAACTTGGGTAGGGCCTGTAGACAGCAAGACAGGGAGTATGTACTGGAGAGAAAGGAAAAAGCAGAAGACAGGAGAGCAACCCAAGAGGAGGAAGTCTCTTCTGAATGCTTTGAATGGATATTAGAGAAGTCTAAAGGGAGCTGAGGAGCCCAGAGAGGGAGAATTTGCTGTAGTCATGATGAGAGTGCCCAGACCAAAGGGAAAAGGCTGTGGCCAAAGGCACCACAACTGCCAACAGGGCCAGTGTGATCATGAAGATGGTGTTATTTGTGAACAAGTGGAGAAGTGAAGGCTGGCGGGGCAGAATTAGGAGCTAGGTTTGGATGTGTTCCACTATTTTCTCTCAAATACCAGCAATAAGCTGAGTTCTTAGTTTGGACAGAAAGTAGAGAGGAAGCGATCGCACCCTAGGAGGGTATGCAGGCAACACACAGCTAAGTTAATAGCTAAGCTAATAAATAAATCTGACTCCTGCAGCTGAGATGTCTGTGCTGTACTCCCAGTGAAATGAGCATTAGGACACAAATCACAGCAGGACTAAATCGATCAGTTTTCCAGGAGCCAACAATGCTGCTTCCCAGTTCCTCACCACAGAAGCAGCATAGCCTCCCAAACCCCTCTGGAACAAGCGGCTTCTCTAGCACGTTTAATTCACTAAATCCAGCATTTCTTTTTTAACTAAAGGATGTAAAAGCCTCAGAGCTCTGACAAAGAACATCCATCTCTTCCAATAACAGAGCCCTGGAAAGTGGACTCTCTTACCGTCAACAGCAGGGCCACGGCTTAAAAGAGAAACATCCTTTCAATAGGCCAGTCTCAAAGAATTTGTAGGTGTATTAATCACACTCAGGATGTTCAAGTCACCCAACCTCGTGCACGATCAGCTGAACCTGGAATTCCTCTTGCGGTGGCAAAGCTTTGCAGGAGCTGGAGGGGGACCCCCCTCCCCTTTATTCCCCGGTACAACCAAAACAGCACGTCGGGCGGGAACAAGAACAGAAGGCTTGAGGCCACGAAGCAATTTTTTTCACAACGTTTATGCTTGTTTAACCAGAAGTCACCCTGGAGGCGCAGGGGAGGACAAGTCCAGTCCAAGGAGAGAGGTGGCCTGCTTCTGCTGCGTCCTACAGAGGGAGGGAAGGTGGGAAGCCAGGGTTCGATGGCGCAGGGTGGCCCTTCACCTCCTGCATCGGTACAGGCTGAAGTGTGGCTGGAGCTGCCTGGTGGAAAAGGACTTGGGGGTTCTAATTGACAAACGGCTGAATATGAGCCGGCCGTGTGCCCAGGTGGCCAAGAAAGCCAATGGCATCCTGGCTTGTATCAAAAATAGTGTGACCAGCAGAAGGAGGGAGGTGATTGTCCCCCTGTACTCAGCACTGGTGAGGCCACACCTCGAGTATTGTGTCCAGTTTTGGGCACCTCAATCCTAGAGAGATCTCGAGGTCCTGGAGCGGGTGCAGAGGAGGGCAACGAAGCTGGTGAAGGGCCTGGAGAATAAATCGTACAAAGAGCGATTGAAGGAGCTGGGACTGTTTAGTTTGAGGAAGAGGAGGCTGAGGGGTGACCTCATCACTCCCTACAACTACTTGAAAGGACACTGTAGAGAGGTTGGTGCTGGTCTCTTCTCACAGGGAATTAGCAATAGAACGAGAAGGAATGGCTTCGAGCTGCAACAGGGTAAGTTTAGACTGGACATTAGGAAGAAATTCTTCACAGAAAGAGTCGTCAGACACCGGAATAGGCTGCCCAGGGAGGGAGGTGGTTGAGTGACCATCCCTGAAAGTGTTTAAGAGTGGTTTAGATGTGGTGTTGGGGGAGATGGTGTAGGGAAGGTGGTAAGGAGGGTTGATGGTTGGATTCTGTGATCCCAAGGGTCTTCTCCAACCAGAATGATTCTATGATTCTTCTGCCGTGGCCACCACTCTGCAGCTGATCCGGACCCGCAGAAGGGCCGGAGGTGAGCGCTTGGCTTCCAGCCGAAGCCGTGACAGGGCGACGGGGACGACGAGGACGAGGGGGAGGCCCGGACGGACCAGCCCCGACCCGCCAGAGAGCTCGCGCCGCCTCACGGCTCCTGGCGGGGCGAAGGGCGGGGCGAGGGGGGCGTGCTTCTCCCCCATTGGGCGAGCGGCTCCCGCCTCGAGGTGGGGGTGGGAAGGGCTAGCCTGCGGGAGCGCCTGTCTGCTGGCCCCTCATCGTTCATTGGGCGAGAAGCCAGAGGAGGCGGGATCTTTACGTCTTTTTTCACTGCCTATTGGAGGGAGAAGAGGAAGGAGGCGGGCTCCGGAGCCGCCCCCTTAATAAGACGGGGAGGGCTTTAAAAGCCGCCCTTTTTCACCGCCGCGCCTCATTGGCTGAGGAGTCGCTAGTGGGCGCGGCCATCCCGGCGGTGTCGCGGGTTTCCATTGGTGGAGAGCGCAAGTTTCCGCCACGCCCTTCCTGCTTCCGGTTCACGGGGCGGGCGAGAGGAGCCGGCCGGGAGCGCGGAGGAGGCCGGTGCCATCCACGCCCGCGGGCCCCGGGCCGCCCCGCCGCCGCCACCGGGCGCGCAGCACGGGATGCTGGTGAGCGGCGGATCGCTCTTCCCTCGGTGCGGCCGTGCCTCTGCCCGTGGGCGGCGGGGGGAGGCCGGGCGGCGCGGCAGCAGGTGGGTTCGGCGGGGCGGCTGGGCCCCGGCGGAGGGCGGGAGGGAGGTGGAGGGCGGTGGGGAGGAGGAGCGGGGTGGCACCGAGCTCCCCGGGGGCCGCGGCGGGAGTGAAGCTGCGGCCTATCCCCGGGCGGCGGCAGCCGGGCCAAGGGGAAGGTGAATGGCGTCGCCCCCGTCGCTTTTCTGAACCGCAGGCGGTGTGCGGGGGAAGCTGCCCGGAGGAGCCGCGGGCAGCGCGGACAGGCGGGGTCTGCTGCTGCGGCCTATCCCCGGGCGGCGGCAGCCGGGCCAAGGGGAAGGTGAATGGCGTCGCCCCCGTCGCTTTTCTGAACCGCAGGCGGTGTGCGGGGGAAGCTGCCCGGAGGAGCCGCGGGCAGCGCGGACAGGCGGGTTCTGCTTTTGGTCTTGTGAGAGACGAGTCACGAGTTCCTGGGTCACGGGCTTCCCCCTCTCAGCATCCCTAACCTCCGCCTCTGACCAGCCTGCGGCCCCAGAGCCGGCCGGGCAGCTGTAAGCTGTCCCGAGGGACTCTGCAGGGATGGAGGGTAAACATTAGGTTCGGCAAAACGGGCCGTCGCTCTCAAGGGGCTCTCTGTCTGGCTGCAGCCGGCTGCTTATTTAATTGTGGGTCTGTTGGGTGCCTTCTGCTGCCAGTGTCTGGAGCCTTGCTTAAACCTGCCATGGGAGAGGCAGAGAGGAATCCGTTGCACTGCTGAGGTTGGCTGCTGCAGTCATTGACTGGTTTATATGTGATTTTTAGCATGAAGCTGAAAGCCAGTTCCTCTAGATTTCATGATTATTTTCATTACTGCCTCTTCAGTTGGATCTTACATAGGATGTCATAGAATCATAGAATGGTCAGAGTTGGAAGGGACATGAAAGACCATCCAGTTCCAACCCCCCTGCCCTGGGCAGGGACACCTCCCACCAGACCAGGTTGCTCAAAGCCCCATCCAGTCTGGCCTGGAACACCTCCAGGGATGGGGCAGCCACAGCTGCTCTGGGCAACCTGTTCCAGTGTCTCACCATCCTCACAGCAAATATTTTCTTCCTAATATCTAATCTAAATCTCCCCTCTTCCAATTTAAAACCATTACCCCTTGTCCTGTCACTACACTTCCTGACAGAGTCCCTCCCCAGCTCTCCTGTAGCTCCCTGCAGATATTTGGAGGCTGCTCTAAGGTCTCCCCGGAGCCTTCTCTTCTCCAGGCTGAACAACCCCAGCTCTCTCAGCCTGTCCTCACAGCAGAGGTGCTCCAGCCCTCTGATCATCTTTGTGGCCTGAAGATGTCTCTGATGTCTCAGTTTCCTCTTCCCCCCATATAAACAGAAGAAAACTGATCTGTGAAGTTGCAGCTTAGTATTAAATACTTTCAGATTCTCAGCTGAAGTAGCACTACAACAGTAATGTAATTATAAAGATTAAGGCACTTGAACAAACAGAGCCTGGCTAATCACAGTGGCCCTTCCCTGCAAGCTCCTCGCATGAGAGCTGCAAAGAGGCCTGGTAAATCATTCTCTACTGACTGGCTTCTCAGCACAATGCAATAGCAAACAATGCCTTATGCCTCACATTTAGTCCAGCATTCAGCCTGCTGGGCTCTGCTCTGACTGAATCAATGCTAATTAACTCGCTCAGTACTTTTCGTGGACCTGAGGCAGAATTTGGAAAAGAATTCCAAATCGGCCCGGTGAATTGTCTTGGACTATGTGCAAGAGATTCAGATTTAGTTTCTCTTGGGAACTGTGAGATGTTTCTAGGTTTTGACTTCTCCTTTTGGCAGTCAGGGCTGAGGAAGTGGCCAATCATTGATTCCATGACCCTGAAGTTAGTTTGCGGAGGGACTAACCCAGTTAATCCTCTGTGTTCTCTGTGGTGTGTGTCCAGGATGTCATCGCCGTGCCGTCCCTCTGCTGTGCTGGTAGTCTTTGTGGCCCTTGCTGTCGGTGCGAGGGCCGACCAGGTGGAAGAGAAGACCTGCGATGTGATCGGTGATGAGAGCAGCGAGTCCCAAATGGAAAGAGCCCTGCTGAAGAAACTAGAACCCCTGAGCCAAATGAGGTACCGTACGTTGTGCTGCCGGCCTCGGGGCTGCACCGTGTCTACCCTTAGCCTGAGAGGAGGGGAAACTTGGGGCCAGGCTGTGGAACGAGCTCCCCTCTTAGTATGGACTGTGACTGGCTTCCAGCCTTGGCCAAGAAGGCCAATGGCATCCTGGGTTGCATCAGGAAGAGCGTGACCAGCAGACCCAGAGGGGTCATCCTGCCCCTCTGCTCTGCCCTGGGGAGGCCCCATCTGGAGCACTGGGACCAGTTCTGGGCTCCCCAGTTCCAGAAGGACAGGGAACTGCTGGAGAGGGTACAGCAGAGGGCTACAGAGATGATGGAGGGATTGGAGCATCTCCTGTATGAGGAGAGGCTGAGGGACTTGGGTCTTTTTAGTCTGGAGAAGAGAAGGCTGAGGGGGGATCTGATCAATGCTCATCGATACTTAAAGGGAGGGTGTCAAGAGGAAGGGGCTGGTCTTTTTTCAGTGGTGCCCAGGGACAGGACAAGAGGAAATGGGCACAAAGTTGAGTATAAGAAGTTCCACCTAAACATGAGGAGGAGCTTCTTTCCTGTGAGGGTGGCAGAGCGCTGGCAGAGGCTGCCCAGGGAGGTGGTGGAGTCTCCTTCTCTGGAGACATTCCAAACCCACCTGGACACGTTCCTGTGCAACCTGCTCTGGGTGGACCTGCTCTGGCAGGGGGGTTGGACTGGGTGGTCTCCAGAGGTCCCTTCCAACCCCATGTGATCCAGTGAAATGTCTGCTGCTCTGAGCCCTGTTCTTTGTAATCTTACAGGCTGTTTGTTCTGTCCTCTCCCTGCTGCAGGTTTAACGTGACTGTGGAAAAAGGCAAAACAGAAAACTACGTCTACCATTTCAGGGTGTGCAGGGAAGTCAACAGCAGCCAGCATGATTTTGGTGGCCTGGTGCAAACAGATAGACGGAATGGAAAGACTACAGTGATAGGAAGAATCAATGAAACCCAGGTTTTCAATGGAAGTAAGATTCCACCCAGTACTTTTCTACTCGGTATCTGCCTTTCACCTCCTGGTCTGGATTTGCAGTCTGTGTTCTTTATCTCTCGGCAGGTGACTGGATCATGCTCATTTATAAAGGAGGTGATTCATATGGCAGTCACTGCAGTGGTGAGAAGAGAAGAGCTGTGATAATGATTTCTTGCAAGCGGGGAGTGACAGCGGTGAGTGACACCCAAGGTGGGAGAGGAGCAGGAGGCTGCCAGACAAACAGTTGTTTATGAGGAGAAGGGCTTTGAGAAGGCAGCAAGGTTTTCTTCTGTCCTCCAGTGTCTGTTCCTAGCTGCATCGACAGTGATGAAACTGTCTTCTGGTGAAGTTTGGCATGGCTGGGCATATTTTCACATGACTTAACTTTTCCCAATTTGCAGAGTTCATTCAGCATTATTTCGGAAGAGCGGGAAAAGGAGCAGGAGTGTTTCTACCTCTTTGAGATGGACAGCAGTTTGGCTTGTCCAGCTGAGGATTCCCACCTCAGTGTTGGCTCCATTCTACTGATCACGTGAGTCATTGCAAGAGCTGTTTGTGTCCGGGCCATAATCTTCAGTGCCATTTAGAAACATAGCAAATGCTATACTAGATCAGACAATTGTAGTATAGCTACACACAGCTGCTGGTGGATGTTGTTGTGCCTCAGCTTTTTGGACAAAAGCTCTTGCTTAAAGCATGATGCTGCAGAGCTGCTCTGTTCTCTGTAGACATCCTCCTTCATAATTTACAAACAAGCACACTGAAATACTTGTTAGGGGTGCACCTGCTGGAAAGGAAGGACCTGAGGAGAAGGATCTGGGGGTCCTTGTGGATAGTAAACCATCCACGAGCCAGCAATGTGCCCTGGTCACCAAGAGGGCCAATGGGATCCTGGGCTGCATAGGGAAGAGTGTGGCCAGTAGGTCCTGGGAGGTCATTCTCCCCCTCTGCTCTGCACTGGGGAGGCCACAACTGGAATCCTGCGTCCAGTTCTGGGCTCCCCAGTTCAAGAGGGACAGGGAACTGCTGGAGAGAGAAATTAACATGATTGAGGGATTGGAGCATCTCCCTTACGAGGAAAGGTTTAAAGAGCTGGGACTCATTAGCCTGGAGAAGACTGAGGGAAGACCTCATCTATGTTTACAAGTTCCTAAAGGGTGGGTTGAGGGAGGATGGAGCTGGACTCTTTTCAGTGGTTCCCAGTGACAGGACGAGGGGCAACGGGCACAAGCGGGAACATGGGAAGTTCCACTCCAATCTGAGGAAGAACTTCTTTGGGGTGAGGGTGGCAGAGCCCTGGAAGAGGCTGCCCAGGGAGGATGTGGAGTCCCCTTCTCTGGAGATCTTCAAGACCCGCCTGGATGCCATCCTGAGTGATGTGCTCTGGGCAACCCTGCTTTGTCAGGGGAGTTGGACTAGATGGTCTCTAGAGGTCCCTTCCAACTCTAACAATTCCAATGTGATTCCATGAAATACAGAAGGTGCCTCTTCCTAAAGTTCAGACCAGGAGTCTTGACTCATTTTCTGTGTTTGTGCTTAGAGGCACTACTTCATGTAATACTGCTGAAGGATTTGTAGTAGCAGAATCAATATTTTGGGGACCTTTTCTGGTCTGATCTCTGTTTAAAGTTCTTTTCTTGAGTAGTGCTTAGCTACTTGTTCCCATATGTCTGTGAAAGGGAGCTGGCTCAGAAGAGATTGTCTAGCGGATTTCCTCAGCTCTGACTTTTTAATTCTGCCCTCCAGGTTTGCTTCACTAATTGCAGTCTACATCATTGGTGGGTTCCTCTACCAGCGCCTTGTAGTGGGAGCAAAGGGCATGGAGCAGTTTCCTCACTTTGCCTTCTGGCAAGATCTGGGCAATTTGGTGGCGGTGAGTGAAAAATTGCTGTATGTTCCCAGCCTGGCCTGTGTGTTAGGGTGGGAGAAAATGGCATTTCCCTCATCTTTGTGGACTGTCTCTTGGGTATATGTACCACCAAGTACTTTGAGTCAGAAGGAGGTATTTATTTGGTTGGGTATTTATTTGGTTGGGTATTTATTTGGTTGGGTATTTATTTGGTTGGGTATTTATTTGGTTGGGTATTTATTTGGTTGGGTATTTATTTGGTTGGGTATTTATTTGGTTGGGTATTTATTTGGTTGGGTATTTATTTGGTTGGGTATTTATTTGGTTGGGTATTTATTTGGTTGGGTATTTATTTGGTTGGGTATTTATTTGGTTGGGTATTTATTTGGTTGGGTATTTATTTGGTTGGGTATTTATTTGGTTGGGTATTTATTTGGTTGGGTATTTATTTGGTTGGGTATTTATTTGGTTGGGTATTTATTTGGTTGGGTATTTATTTGGTTGGGTATTTATTTGGTTGGGTATTTATTTGGTTGGGTATTTATTTGGTTGGGTATTTATTTGGTTGGGTATTTATTTGGTTGGGTATTTATTTGGTTGGGTATTTATTTGGTTGGGTATTTATTTGGTTGGGTATTTATTTGGTTGGGTATTTATTTGGTTGGGTATTTATTTGGTTGGGTATTTATTTGGTTGGGTATTTATTTGGTTGGGTATTTATTTGGTTGGGTATTTATTTGGTTGGGTATTTATTTGGTTGGGTATTTATTTGGTTGGGTATTTATTTGGTTGGGTATTTATTTGGTTGGGTATTTATTTGGTTGGGTATTTATTTGGTTGGGTATTTATTTGGTTGGGTATTTATTTGGTTGGGTATTTATTTGGTTGGGTATTTATTTGGTTGGGTATTTATTTGGTTGGGTATTTATTTGGTTGGGTATTTATTTGGTTGGGTATTTATTTGGTTGGGTATTTATTTGGTTGGGTATTTATTTGGTTGGGTATTTATTTGGTTGGGTTTTTTTGATGTGTGGTGGTGGTGATTTTTGTTGTTTTTTGGGTTCTGGGTTCATTTTGGTTGGATATTTGTTGGGTTTTTTTTGAGTACTCTATTTTTTGAATCCTTGCTGAGTCTGATTCCCTGCCAGTGCTCAGTAGCGATTAACACTTTAAAGGTAGGAATGATACTCTGGGGACTGTGAAATGTTTGTGTCCGACTCCCCGAAACCTTTCCTTGGTCGCTGTAGGCAGTGCCATTTATTGTCCACCCTGCTCTCAGCATGATGTTGTGTACTGTTAATTAGTACCACATTCTACCCCAGAGCTTTCAATACCACGTAAGGTATTTGTCTATACCTTCTCTTGCCCAGACAAGTTCTGGGGGCCTGTCGCAGGGTAGCGCAGGGATAGATATAATCCCTTAGCCATAAAGATATGGCAGAAGCTGCTTTGTTTTGGATTGCATACAGTCTGATTCCAGTGCCATATCCTGTCCTTGTAGGATGGCTGTGACTTTGTCTGCCGATCGAAGCCTCGCACCGCGCCGGCTGCGTACCGTGGTGTGGGTGACGACCAGCTGGGTGAGGAGTCAGAAGAACGAGATGACCACTTGCTACCAATGTGATAGGGCTTTCAACACTTCCCAATTCTTTTCTCCCCAGCGCTTCTTTAGCCAGGTGCCTCCCAGCCAGTTCTCTTTCTCTCACTTCTGATTTCCTTTACACTCTTTGCTTTTGGCTCTCTCTGGTGTGTTCAAGTCCCATGGATGCCTCTGGGTGCGCTCAGCACTGGTCCCTGATGGCATGTCTTTGGAATATAATGCAGCTTGAGGTTTTTTTTTTAAAAAGCAGCAGAGCTCTAGAGCTGGGGGGAGAGTGCTGAGAGTTGAGTAGAAGATGGCAAGAAAGCAGTATGAGCATTCAGCACTGAGCAGGAATGGGAGATGAATCACTGAGGGGGGAAAAAAAGGGCCATGGATGGGTGAAGAAAGGGGAAGGAAAAGGAGGCAGTGAGTTAAAACAGCTGAGATGGTAGGAGGGATCTTTTGTCTTTTTTTTTGTTTCCCCCCCCTTGGGTTTACAGGATCTCTAAGACACTGGAATTATTTTTCTTTGAATGCATTTTCAGCTTTTCTAGCTTCTGCACTGTTACGCACTGTTTGGGCCAGCATACCCTGCACAGAGCGCTCTAGGCCAGGCTCCATGGGGGTGGAAGAAGCATTGGCACCTCTGCAGTCTTTTCTTTTCCTACTGGCAATATGTTGAAGAGTACGCACCAGTTTCCTTCAACAGATATAAAGGGATACGTGCCTTCCTCTCAGACTGGAGAGGGGCAATGCTAAAAAACCATAGGAGTTAAATTTACAGTCTTGTGACTTTCCAGTTCAGTCAAAATATTGTCTCGGTCTTCTCAATCCTTGAGAAGCAAAAGGAAATGATGTGCTGCTAAGTAAAGGGAAGGTTTGCTGAAACTGAAACCAAGGCAAAATGAGAAAGGTATCTGTCACTCCAGTTCTGTTCCAAGCTTCCCGAGGTGACTGCTCACGCAGCTCAGTCACCTCACTGTGATTTTGTGCTCTCTGAAAGTTCCTTGTTTGGCAGAGGGTTTTCCTGTGAAGCTACCAGAATATTTAATTATTTTTTTTTTTTATAAAAAAGGAATCATAGAAGCCGAGGACAAAAATGCTACCACATTAAAAAGTGCATAAGGGACTCCCAGGCTTACAAGGTCAGCTTTCATCAATCACTATCCCATTAAGCATCATGTAGACCAGTCTTAAGATACCTGCAGATGGTACTTGCACACTGCTGCTGGCTGGGAGGGAGGGACAGACCTTCTCCTGGGGCCCTGGTGAAAAGCAGGTACGGCTGAGTTGTAAGACTTCATTGGAACCCTCAGGAATTTGGCACTTTGATTCCTAACTGCTTGTGATGTGAGGGGCTGGGCTCTAAGCATTCTGCCCTGTTGTAGGCTGGCAGAGAACTGCCTTCAGTTTTGAGGCAGAGACTGTGAATAAACAAGCCACTGCTGCTAACAGCAGAGTACAGACAAAGGTTCGTGTATTTTTAATACTGCCAAAGCAGTCCCAACAGTGACATTGAGGGGGAAAAGGGGGTGGCCCTGCTTTCTTGCTGGGTTTAGAGTGGGCAAACAATTCCTGCTTTCTTTGACTTTTGTTACGATTTCAATCTTTCTCATGACATGGGAAAAATAGGAAGTCACCAAGTTTGTTGTTACTGTATTTCATGGTGGTGTTTAAGGTAATTTTTTTTGTACAAAACACAACTTTCAAAAAAAATAAAATGACCAAAAAACCTGGTGAGGTGGTGTGCTGATGTAACAAGAACTTTTTTTGATGCCAGAGTGTCTTGCCCAAGGGTGGAGGGTCCTTACGTGGTGCCTTGTGCCTGAACTTCTTTTGCCAGGAATAGATCTCTTTGTTAACACACATCTTTTGCTGCCACCTTGTATCATTCCAGTTCCCTTTAGGGCTTGAGAGAGAAGGGTACACACATCTTTCAAAATTGAAACTTTAAAAGCTCTGGTAGGCACAGATGGGAAAAGCTTCCTATGCTCTGTATTTCTCTGCAGCAATAAAAATCAAAAGTAACTTTTTGATGAAGGTTGTACTTCTCAAACACTAATGTTTGTTGGGGGAAGTAGGTATAAAGCAGCCAGACCTGCAACCTGCTAAGCTTTAATAAGCATTTTGCCTTTTTTTTAATTAAGATTGAACATGAAATGAAGAAGCCTCCCCTATTAAGAAGATTGAACATGAAATGAAGAAGCCTCCCTCTTTGACCGAAATAAAATCCAGTCCTCAGAAGTAGCTAGTACCACAGGCAGAGTCGTGGTGTGCCTACCCTGCCAGAGGGCAAACTAAATAGGAATTTTATCACACCCAGCCTGCTAAGAATAAAATGGTTTAAGGACAGCCTTCCTCCACTGATGGCAGGTACAGATTCTAATCTGCCCTGCCCTCGGATGGCATCAGACCAAGTAGTGTGGCCAGGCTGCAAGTATGGGCACCTTCCTTTGGACCTGTTTTGATTCAAGAAGTCTCAGAAGTCTTCTCTCACAGGAATAGGGATGTCATTAAAGTGAGATTGAACAGTGCAGTTAAGATTAGGAAGCTGTTGCCACATTTTATCCATCTTCTAAGCACTTTCGCTTGTCTAACGTGGGTCAATAAAGAGCCTATTCCAAACATCTCTAATGTTTTCCTACCTATGCTATTGGGCCTCCTCCCACCTCACGACAGCTTTTCTGCAACAGTAGATGCTTTCCACACAGAACAGTTTTATGTTTTACTGGAATATTCATGTGAAACTTCTGAAAACGGAAAAGCTGAGACCCATAATTCATAAATCATCTTGCTTTCAGATACTTGGCTCGAGGGGGCACTTACCTCTTCATACTTCAGTTCTTCTGCTTGTTGGTTTGTTTTAAGCAGAGGTGCTTCTGGAAGAGAAGAACTCTGCCCAGGTTTTCACCTTTGGTGAACTGGTTACAAAACTTCAGAAGACCACATTTGGTCATTTAAAAAAGAAAACCCAAGCCTGGAGGGGCTGAAAGGGAGGGACTCAGCCTGTAACATAATTCTACCCGTTAGAAAGGAGAAGTAGTATTAAAGGATCAATATTCAGTTGGTAGAGAGTATGTTTTTGGTTTTGTTTTTTTTTTTAAACAGAGGAAGAGAAATATTTGTTTTACAACACACAAAAAAAGAGCCTGAGGCAGGCAATACAATCCCACCAGCTTAAACTTTGTCCCGAAAGCTCTCCTGAGGATAATGAAGACAGACACAAAAATAATACAAACTGATAAGAGAACACAAAAAGGAAAACAAAACAAAACAAAACAAACAAAAACCCCCAAACCAAAACCCCAGCCCATTTTATGAAGAGCCCCAAAACCAAAACCCCAGCCCATTTTATGAAGAGCCTTGGCGCTTCTGGAGACTGCTTTGGATTTGTAAATGATGCCCTAGCACAATGTGGGGACAGACCTAGTGCTGCAGGGTTCCCTAATATTATCCCCCTCCCCTTCGGTTTTCCCATCACCTTGTTGTAAGTACTCAGGATAAATCCTCCTCTGACTGGTTCCAAGAGGAGCATCTGGAGTGAACAGCTGCCACAACACTTTGTCTTCACTCTGCAACTCTACAGGAGACAGTAAAGCTAAGGCATCTCCTATTGCCACGGGCCTTCAAGTTTGGTATGCATGCTGGAATGGCTATTAAACCCAGTTCATGAACAGCCTAGGTTGTTGGTTTTTTTTCAAGAGTGGAACAGCAGCAGCTCCTTTTGCTCAAATTCTTGTTTGTCCACCTCTGTCACTTGGAATTTACAAGTTCCCCTTCCTAAATACCGCAAGCAGAGCCGCTCCCGATGTCCGTGTGGAGCAGGCGCTTCCTATGCCTCAAGTTCTGGCACAGCAAGATTCAAAACTAAGATCTAGCAGACCTGCTGTAGCAAAAAAGGCCCAAGGGCAGTTCCCCTTCAGAAGTCTGCTAGGACAGAAAGAGGTCCCCTTCCCATCCTTATGTGGTATACAGGAGAGGCATATTCGAAAAAATCAGGAAGAAGGAAAGATGTTTCAAGGCCCCAGGTGGGAGTTTTCCTCCCCCTTGTAGCACCATTAAGAGACCAAGATGTGGGCTTGTGCATGGCAGTTTCAGTCAGTTAAATTCCTTCTCGTTCTTCTTGAATGCAAGACCACAGGGGACTGCCTCATTCTTCCCCACCCCAACAGGATGCTCCAAAGCTGGCAGCTGCCCTAGGGTCAGAGAAAAAGCAACAACTTCTGGCTTCAGAGCTGTTAGGTCTCCTTGAGGACATTGATCTTGGCACAGATTTTGAGAGCTGGTCCCAGCTTGATGTTCATGGCACTCATGAGGTGTTCCTCCTTGAGAAGCAACAGGGCCTGGCCATCAATTTCCTGTGACCGGAATTCCTCAGCAATCTCCTGGCACCCTGTGAAACCAACAAAAATAGCACTGAGAAAGAGATGTGCCCTGGGCCTTACCCTTGTTCCCACTCTTTGGACCTCTGGGATGTACAGAAAGCAAGGCAGGAATCTAACAATCCCCCCCCCCTCCTCATTCTACTCCACGGGCTGCCTGAGAAGTACAAGTCATCCATCTGTAGGACCTACTCCAGTTCAGAAACATGTACAGAAGTGCAATAAAAACAATAGGTGCCACTGACTCTGCGTTCTTCCCAGAAAGAGACCCAACAAATTTCTCCATGCTACTTGATCACAAGTAGGAGGAGGATCTTAACTTCACCTTGCAGCGATGCAATGAACTCGTACACTTCCTCCACACTCCAACGACTGGGATTGCTGGATAGGAAGACTGGGTTGATGCCATGTAGATCTGGGGTAGGTGGGGCCATACTAGAGTTTGCCAGGTCCCTTTCTCCATGGCTGGCCCTTACTGACAGGGGTCCTGGAGACGTAGGTGACAAAGCTTCGTCATAGCTGGAGTTATCAGAGCCTCGGCTTGAGTCTTCCTGGCCCTACAAGCCCATAGGAAAGAAATAAAACAAAAGGTGTTTTGTAAGAAATTCACAATTACTAGGTGCAAAACAAGACGCTGAAAATAGAAGTTGTCCCAACAGTCAGCGACAACTGTCTCAGGCTGTTGGTCCAAGGGCAGCTGACACAAGAGCTCCCTAATGCCAGAAAGGCATTACCTTACTTTCGTCTCCCTTCCACTTCCTTCTCCCCATCTTCCCCCAGTCCATTCCTCTCTCTCATGTCAGTGCTGACGCTCATTTGATTCATCTATAATCTGATTCAAATCATTTAGGTGGAAGAATGCTAACCAAATTGGAAAAGGCGACTATTTCCTACCAAGGCTGTCAGCTGATCTCACTCACCGAGACCTCTGAGACACAGGTGGGAGTGAACAGAGTAAGCACAAATGCGAATCCACTTTTTGGTGTCGCAGACGACACCAAGCTGGGTGGCAGTGTTGATCTGCTGGAGGGTAGAGAGGCTCTGCAGAGAGATCTCGACAGGCTGGATCGATGGGCCGAGACCAACGGGATGAGGTTTAACAAGGCCAAGTGCCGGGTCCTGCCCTTGGGTCACACCAACCCCCTGCAGTGCTACAGGCTGGGGGCAGAGTGGCTGGAGCTGC